GTGAAAACAAATACCCTTAATTTTATGGAGTGCTCCTCACCATAAATTATAAAATTCCGCTTCGACTCTCATTGATTTCCACGCGCCATTACCTGCCCGTGTGACCCCAAAACGGTCTCGGGCCACTATCCGACTGCTTTAAGCTTTCGGCAATGGCACGAAGCGTGGCGGCACAAGTCAGAACGCCACTTGATCATTAGCAGTAAACCGTGGAAAGGAGCGAGGCTCCCAAGAGCTGCGCTATTTAGCGGCGCCGAGCAATTGCCAACGTAAATCAAATGCCATTCTGCACTGGCAGCGTAGCGGTGCCGATTCAACGCTCCCTCCAACGCATATTTTACTTTCGCCATTTTTAAGACATGAAATTTCTGCTAGGTAGCAGGGCAGAAAGGCGCTTCAGCAAAGGGTGCGTGACCAAAGACGTTCTTCGGCGATCACGGACCTTAAGGTTAGTGCTGCCAACACAGTCGATAGTACTACCAAAGAAAATAAAAACTTAGAGGATATGTAAGGGACATATGTACCTTCTCATTAGCAAGATACTAATAGCGATCTGGCACAAAATTATAAAATAATAAAAGTGCGTACAGATCTAGAATATGCGTGAACATTTTCAGTCTTCGGTTAGGGAGCAGTTGACTCAAGAGAGGACTCTCTCCTGGCCTTTCAGCAAAATTTCTACAGAGCAATTTGAAACTTTAAGCTTCCATTGAAGTTTACTTATTCGTTGGGCTAAGAAAATTATTCAATTTTTTAGAAGACATAATGTCGTACCGGTTTGCTATTTCCCATCTCTAGATTTCTACAAATATAGACAACAAATTTGAACTACTTAAAAAATTAAAGAGACAAACTCTATTTTACTGTTTGGGGCGTACACTGTCAACCTTCAACGTGTCACGATTGCAACTCCGATGCCCCAAGAATGGTACAGTGTTGGCAGGGAAAACTTGGCTGGGAAAAGCAGGAAGCTGGAGGAGTTGCTGCCAACTGTTGGCTGCTACTTGCTGCACACATGCACAATTTTGATTTATTATTTTGATTCCTGTTACTTTACTACCTGCTAGGATGCAGCCCGGACCGGCAACTGCGCTTCCCCCAGCCACCTCATTGTATCCAGAGCTCGGTCGTCGTCGAAGCTTTTCTTTATTTTTATTCACACGGTTTCTGGTTTTATTGCTCCAATTACTTCATGTACTACTCGTTTTTCCGCCGTCCCTCTCCTACCTGGTTGATGGGTGGCACTCGAGTAGATTTAATATTTTTCTTCCGCACCTCGCCAGTTTTCGTTTTACTGATTTAATTTATCATGTTTGCAGACTCTGCGTTGATTTCTGTTGCCCAACATTCAGGAATATTGGTTTAAGCATAGCGATAAGCAATTCAAGATTTCCGTGATAAATATTGGGTCTTCTTATTTTAATCTTACTTCAGTCAATAGAATAATATAATATGTGTTACATATGTAACAGGGCCCTTGGATTCGTTTTATGCTGACTTCAGGCAATCTTTGAGAGTCCTCCATGCAAGGAACTCCTGTTTCCGGCCAACCACGACTTGATACCAATTAAGCACTCACGATCATATGCTGAAAGGATGGAGCTCTTAGCTGGCATAACCCCAACTCCTTCACATTGGTTTTTTATGCTGGGTTTTTGCGACCCACTCGACACCTGTTCCTGCCGCTGCTCCCCCCTCCTGAATGCGAAATGCAAAACGCTTAACTGCACATAAAATATACAAAACTAACTTAGTTCGCGCATATCGCAGGACATAACTCATGGCCACCCGGCGTCACCTTCTGCCTCCCCCTCCCGAGCGCCACTTGCCATTTGTAACTGACTGCACAAAAACAAAGCCAGTGACAATAAAAGAGCGAGAAGGCGCAGCAGCGCACAGTCAGCTCCTAACAAGCTTCGCCGGAGCAGGGCGCCAGAGATCGTCCTGAAGCTGAGGTGAGGCTGCCTACCTGGTGAAGGGGTGCAATTCAGGACACAGATAGCACTACCTCGAAATCTCGGAACTATAATTTAATTTTAAATTTGTTCTACAAACATTGAAGGAAGTGCTGAGATCTTTGTTTATTAATTTTAAATGTTTAAATAATACTCTCCCTTAAATCTCAAAATTACTACTACTTATCTAAAATAACACAAAAATATTTTCAGTATTCAGAGTTTTGAAAACATCTAACAAACTTGGCTTAAAAAAAACAAAGCTGGTTGCTCGTGGATCTCTTCCATTGTTCCTAAGTAAAAAAATTTAGGTTTTACTATGACTTTTCAAAGATTTCATTCGAATCATTCGTGCCGTGGACATAGCTCATATCACCTGTGCATTACCATATCATATGTGCGAGTATTTGTACCTTCCCACTTAGCTTGCACGCCCTTTGCTGCACTCCGCTAATGGCAACTGCTGAGTGGATGCAACAAAGCGTGTGTGCTTCGCGGGGTTTGTGGGCGGTTGAACGGCAGAGAGGGCGGCTGGGCGGATGGGCGGGTGCAGCTGTGGCGGGCGGGCTATGTATAAATTCATAAAGAGAGCCACAGTGCAACGGGAAAGGCAGCGAGAAGGGCGACTGCGGCAACATGTTGTAATTGCGTATTTTATAGATATGCGCGGCCCTTGCGAAAGATGGAAAAGGGGACTGGGACTGAGACTGGGTGGTTGTTGTATCTGCCATTCGCTCTGTTTGCTTTTGTTTGGTGCGGAAATGGCAGCCGGTGTGCAGCGAAATATGCCAGTAAGAGCAACAACATCACGCATACGCCATGTTGCGCCATTTGAAGTTGTTGGCGTATACGTAATTTTTATTTTACAAGCAAGCAAAAACAAAAAACAAAGAAAACAGAAAACATTGAGCGCTGAAAAATGCATTCAGAGCCACAGCAATAACAAAAATGGCACACAGAGCACAGAGAAATTTTAATTGCTCAAAAAGCGTCAAGAAGGGTTCGAGGCGGGGAAAGAGCACATATACATGAGCATATGGATGTTGGCCATAGGAGAGCGAGGAGCAAAAACTAAATTTGCGTCCGTTATGGCGACTTTTATGACTTTTAATTCAATCAAAGTTAAATCAAATTACAAAAATGGGAAAAACGTACAGCTGGCGATATATGTTTATATTTCTGTTTGACAGAGCTTGCTTTGACAGATTTGGGTTCGAAATGAAAGATCAGGACTGGGATCCAAACTATATCTCTTAATTCGGTTAGCAAAAAGGACCTCTAAAAGTGTCCTTTTCCATTCTAGAATGTCATGTCATCTCTGCTGGTGCATTTAGCACAAACAGGCGACCCATTTCGGTTTTAAGTTTCCGAAGCTATAAAAAGGGAAAGGCTGCTTCAAAAAAATTAAAATGAGTTCCACAAAAAGTCGCACGCAAATGCGCACTTTGCTTTGTGTGTCCTTTCTAGGTCCTGTTTTGTGCGCTGTGTCGCGTGGGTACATTATCAGCCATGCGTGAAAATCAGGACATGCGCGTGAGAGGAAAGGCTTTGTTCACACGATGCCACGAACTAATGATGATAACGCAGACCCGGCGGAGGAAAACTCCCCTCTTGCTTTCCTGAATTTTTAATATGATATTCATCACTGGGGCTTCTTCAGGATAGACATTCGATGTGCAGCGTCATTTGAGTGTGAATGTTTTGATAAGCATTTGGAATTGGTTCTCTATGTGTTTCACTTTAAATGTGATTTGGGCAAGTATTTACGGCTAGAAAATAGGTTACTTTGAAAATAGTTTCAGTTCTGTGTGTTTATTTTGGATGATATGTATGTTGACTTTTAATGTTCAAATACTTTTTATCATAGTAGCTATGACTTTACGGTATTTAGTGGTCGCAAAGAACTGGCAACATCACAAGCGCTCTCTTATATACTTTACAAATCTGCATGCCCCTGGAGTTTCAAGGACATCCACTTTCTGCTACAGTGCTTCAATGGGTTGTCATTGTTATTGATGAACTCTCCCTCTTTGCACGAATTCCCAGACTTCTATGTGACGAAGTTTTGTGCGACTGCACCAGAGTCTTCAGATCCATCGCCCAACACGATCAGATATCAAGCGGGAAATAAAAGATGACCTTGAGCCTTCTGTGGAGTGGTCTCGTCAAGGAATCTCCGTGCTCTACGTGTTATTTTTCGGACTTTGGAACTTTCCGGGCTATAGTCTCAAATTCTAATTCAATAACCAGTAGAAAGCAAAATGCGATTCTGTTCCATGTTCGTTCTTATTTATATAGTACGCAAAGTGGAGAAGCCCACGGAAAGTCGCAGCCTTGAGGGGAGAATGGAGATGGAAAGATCCTCGACTGGACTGTCGCAGATCGGTCTCTCCGCAGGGCGACGAAATAGGGAGCTTTTCCGTCTCGTATTTAAAATTTTCCTTAGGTGATTCGACGTGTGCCTCTTGGCTGTGTTTCTCAACCAATAAAACATTCAATCCGTTTTTACTCCATAGTGGGTCGTTAAAGAAATAACTGGGCTTAGCTTAAAGCCTCCTCCGAGCGCCCCTGCAGCTCATGGGCGGCCAAAGGACAATATGGTGTCAGTCCATATAAGCACATAAATTACACCGACGCCAATGACAATGATGACAATGAAATGTGACACTCCCGATTTTAGCCCCAGTCACCCCGCTGGTTACGAGCTTGAAAATGCCAGTTGGATGTGCGACTGCCTATGCCTGCATCTGTCCGGCATTGTTGGCTGTCTAAAATTTCATGGCACAACAGCGACACAGCAGCAGTTGGCCAACTACAATGGCATCGGCTGAAGTGTTTGTTGAAGAATACGCCCATTTTGTTAATCCGAGAAAAATAATATGCTTTGAGATAATGCACGCAATCGCAGGCCGATAAGGAAGAGGTGTTGTCATCGACGGATATATGCTTATAGCAACGATGTCTGTTGGACCAATTACATACTCTTAAAAAACATATTGAGTGTTTATAAGGTTTTGCTTTTATATAGAAATCTATGCAGAATTTTTTAAGGGCTTTCATTAAGCTAACATTATTTACAAAATATGAATTTACACTTTGTCGGTTTGCCGCCAGTAGACTCTAATAAAGTTGAAAATTTGATTTGACTTCACTTGACTGATCAGATCCATTTATTTACATCGTCAAATACCAAACAACCGCTACTGCAGAATTGTGACCACTAAAGCAAGGACTAGGACCGCAGTGGAGCACTTCGCGCAGACCCCCGCCTCAACCGTCATCTTCACATTCTCGTTCATGTAGGCGATGGCCACCGATAAGGGGGGCGAGTCTGCGTCGCACGCCGAAGGCGCACAGGTGTTGTACAGATCGGTGGTGTAGTGGAACGGGAAGTCGATGCAATGGAGCTGGGCAGGCATCGTGTCAGGCAGGACATAGTTGCGCCCGTCGCAGTACAATTGCTGGTTGCTCAAGACCACCGTGTAGCAGCTGAAGAGCGGCGAGTCATAGAAGGCGATAAGCAGGTAAGATGGGCGGTTGGTGTCCGTTCGTCTCCAGATGGCGTACGGTGTACCGATGGCTGGGATGCGGTCCTTGTGCTGATAACGGATGTTTTCTGCGTAGGTGCTGTGGCAGACGTACTCTAAAATATGTCCCTCGATGAAGCTACAGCTTGCGTTCTCACAGGCAGCCGGCGTTGGTCCCATTAGTATCAATGTCAGCAGCAGCAGCACCGCTTTATTATTCAACTTTTGGGGGCTGGAGAGGCGCACTGGCATTGCTTATAGTCAAATGATTCTGGATCATTTTAGAAAAATTTGACTGGGACGTCTAGGAGAATAATCCCAGAGCTTGTTTGACAGGAGTTTCTTTCGTTTACCCCGAAACCGGCGTTACCTGATCTAGCACCGCCTCCGACTCCGACTCATATCACAGTGCCTTCTGTGGCTACTGCACATTGATGTTATAAGGTGAATCTGAAGCAGGGGATGCTCTATGGCCTGATGTAGATGGCAGGCTCATCGGTGTCCGTGCAGTGCAGACAATGATTCGAGGGCGACGTTGACGCAGAGCGAGCTGGGCGATTCATAAAGGAAGATGATCAACAACTGCGTGACAACTGACGGCTGCAGCCGCCTCCAAGCCCAGAAGGGGCGCGTTTACCTTTACCCATCTGTCTCGGAAGATCTGCTTCACCTCGGTTCTTTACTGGGCTTTGGGCCTTAGGCTGGTTATAATACAGAAAGAATTCGCTGTTGTGGGAGGGCTCTCTGACGTGACCAGAATACTTCGGAGTCGCATGGAATTAGTTTTGACAGAAAACACCTGGGTCAAATCATGATAGAATTATAACATGAAGAAAATAGTCCAGAAATATGTTCCCAATTCCTTTATGACATAATATTATTAAAATCACTTTTTGGATTCATCAATAATTAAAACAACAAAGCTAGTTTATTATTAACTAAGCTTCATTGTGGTGTCTCGTCAACCAAAAATAAAATACTACCGTCAACAGCCTTTGCAGAGTTTCAATACCAATTTGTAAGTTAAAGCTACTCATTCTCATTCTCATAATATTCTCATTCGTCTTATTCCACTATTCAGTATTCAGTAAAATATATGCTTTAAGCCTCCAAAAGTATATCTCGGATGGCTCTGGACTCAATACCAATCGCTTTGGCATCCAATCAGTTTCTCAGGCCCAATGCAGCAACTACGTGCCACGGGAGATGCTCAATCGAGGGCAACGCTGAGAAAAGCTTTCGGAGGAGACCAGCGAAAGTTAAGAAGAAAATTCCACATTAAATTGATTTACATGCGGGTACTTGTGTGCGCAGACACTGAAGGAGACTGCAGCAATAAAGTGACGAAGAAAAGCGAGGACGAGAAGCGCACAAATAAAATAAAAGATGCCGACGTATGAGGAACGAATTTACTTTCAATTTCGCCTCAATGACAATTTTTCTGATTTAACTCCTTTTTATGAGAGCCGAAGGACCGGAGTACTTGCCAGGCTCTGCGTCCTTCGTTACCTGCCTTTATTACGTTTCAATAATAAATTGTATTAAGTATGTTTGCGCAATGGCGCTGCCGGCACTAGCATGGGGCCGGGGTGCTCGGGTGATATCGGAGATTGTGTCGCAGGTGTTTTGTCTGGCCCACAAGAAGGGCCAAAGAAAAGAACTGAATTAAGTGGGAAAATGCCAAAACAGTCCCTGAATGACATTCTTGAACAGAACCCCTTCTGGCACACATTCAAAGCTGAAATTACAATTCCATCTTGCCATTCGCCCGACTCTGCCGCTGGCAGAGCTCACCAATATACCCGCCACCCTCTCTCATGTCTTTGCCATCATGCATTGGGGCGGCCTTTGTGCCAGCTTCATTGTAATATTAATACATGTCACGTGATTTACAGCTGATGCTGCCTTCGGCGCCTCTATCGCGCCACAGCTCCACCAGGTGGTGACAGCGTCGGCTCTGCGTGGTCCTGACACATTGTCAATAAGTGTCGAGTAAAAGAGCTAGAGTCGAGGGTGTTCGACTGTAAGATACCCTGTACAAATTACTCTGCACATTCTATTATAGGATAAAAGCGTTTTCAGTAGCATGTCCTGGATAATCTTCCCAACAGTCTTCAATACATTTACTCCGATGGAAACTTTTAACACAATCTAGAAAGCCGACAGTTGGAGATGGCTATTATTCCCGTATACCAAAGACTAATATAAAAGTAAAAGAGACTTGCTTGCATATGACAATGCAAATGCATGGTCGTTGTTGATCTTAAACAGTCTCTATAGGTACTGGATTTGATAAAGCTACGACGGCAGCCAGATACCTTTAATCGCCGGGTCACCAGTCACGCACTCATCGACCCTCTCTGGTAAGCTATGATAAGCGACTTGGCATTGAACCCCTTTCCATCGACATTAATTAGAGCTAATCGCAGGGTACAAAAGAAGGCACGTTAAACGAATGCTACTCAATGTTAATGCACGGACGAACCTCCGCATCCACCAGTCTGAGGATGACGGTTGAATCAATGCTCGGCACTACTGGTGCAAGAAATAATTCCATTAGTAAAATAAATATACGAATGAATGATTGAGCAGCACCAGGGGAGTTTGTCGGGGAGAGAACTCAACCGCCCCTCCGCCGAACAAGGCCTAAACCTGAAGAAGAGGAGCGCTTCAACCAAATACGAAGGGCCCGGCCCACAAAAGCACCCACACCGGGGTCTCCGAAGATGTCACTCGACTGCGGCTGGCTGTATACATATTACATGAGCCGCTCGAGTACAGCACACATATTGACCCATTTCGATGTCACAGACAAGTCCCCACACCACACAAGCATAGACACCACGCCACCTGTCCTGAGGAGCCTCAGAGTAGTTCTGGTTAATAAAGTCAAATGCCACCAAAATCAAAAGGAAGACGCCACTTACGCCTAATGGCATCACGGCATCGGAGGTAAGATGCCAGAAGGACCTTCTCCTGTCACAACTGTCCTCGCTACAGCAGCCACAAGAACAATAGCCCAGGACATCCGCCACAATCGTGGGGCATTACTCTGGCAGGAGGGCAATCGGTGGATTTTTAATTGTATTAACATCCCTAAACAGCCGTCGATCCTGGAGCACCTCTGGCCACCTCGATGGAGTCCGCTCTATGCGGCACTTAAGTGCGTACCGAAGCTGCCAAATATTTGATTTGGCTCGCAGCTTGAGTGTGGCTTTTAGGCAGCTACGGCTATGGCTGTCCTTTGCAGGAGTTCAACATCTTGTGAATAGTTGACGAATTTGAGCTCATAAAATTAGAAAGATAGGAAAATGGATATGTTGGCATGCTCCAGTACAGTACTATCAGCATCAATAGTCGAGTCGATTTACCCTTGCAAACTAGCTCCTCAGTTTCAGAGCTATCTAAAATAAAACTTCCTTTCTTATTGGTAAATAAGTCGGTAAGGGTCAGTATAAAAATCTGCATTACCAAGAAGTACTGGTATATGTTTTTTCCCAAATCTCCTAATAATTTTCAGTTCACCTCCGGAAAATTGGGCAAGTCGGGGGTAAGCTCACGTGCTGGGGCAACGAAGGAGCCACCAAAAGTCAGCCCGAGACGGAGAGCAAGGACGTGGGGTCCTATATAAACGACAGCAAATTATTCGCCGTCAGCGCAGGACAACGGAGTAGCAGTCGTAGCAGTCACAGGAGTCGAGTGTGCGTGTGGGAGATTCCGCAGGACAGTGCAGGGGATTGCGTGTCTGGCAAGTCGGCGACCGAAAATCAAAAGAAAATTGATATTAAGAAATTGCACGGAATGAGTAAATGGAGCGTGGCCGCCTAATGGACTGACGTCTGAGCCGAAGGAAGGCGGTCGGTCGTCTGATTGCCACCTCAGAGAAATATGTATTAAAAATTCCACGAAAACTAATCAATGTCAAATGTCGGTTGATTGCTCCACGCCGACGGCACAGATAGATAAGGCCCGAGTCCCTGGTCCTGGGTCCTGGGTGGTTTTAGGCAACGCGTGGTAAGCTGAAATTAGAAAATAATTTGCTTTGTTCCAGGTAATTTATGTGCTGCCATAAATTGGCCAGGGCGTGTCGTGAGGAGTGTCATCAAATGGGTGGACAACTCCGATTTTAGAGCTGGCCTTTTAAAGCTTTTGCTAATCCCGCAAACATGTATTCCATGTCCATCGCGACTGAAAACTTAAGTAATTACTCATCTTTTGCTCAATGAGACAAAGTGCAAAGCACTGGCAATCAATGTATGTGTATTATATTTTGCAATAATCTGTTTATCACTACTGCCAGAGTGAGTTAATAGAAAACTCAGGGCAAAGCTCTACTAATGGACAAAGGGCATAATTTCTGCTCCTTATCCCGTCATAACGCAAGCTATTCACCAGCTGTGATCTCTTTCGAATGCTGCACCTTTCCCACAGGGATAATGTGCGGTATTGACAAACAAAGTTGAAGCGGTGTCCTGGGAAAGGCACTTCACACTCCATGCAACGCACAGCGTGCTCGCTTCATCCACCGAGCAGATGTCATATTGACATTTCTACTTAACATCCTTGCTCGCTGCTCAATTTTTAATCGGCCTTTCAAGCCGCTTTCACGTCCGCAGAGAAAGCGGCAAACTCATTATTTTTATTAATATGATTTCGCTGCACTTCACCTCGCTGCACTGCTGCTCGTCAGTGCAGTTTGTGCATTTTGTAATTTTAATTTTCATATTTAAGGGCAGGGCCTGCGAGGCTGGTGCGATGAAGCTGACAGAGGGCGCCGGTGTCAATACATCTCATTGTTCCCTCCAGTGAACAGCATTTATTTGCAATTATTTGTTTTAAGCCTTAACCCAGGAGCCGGCAAGGGGGTGCGGTGCGAAGGAGTCTGTCGAGCTCTTCTGGGTAAATTGCTTTAAGCCCCTCGGGACCGAGCCGAGGCTGAGCGGCTCAAATGAGCAGACGACCCGAACCGTCCTCCCACCCCGACGGTCTGTATCGCATTGCGATGGAAATGCGTTTTTAATTGCTGTCAGAAAGGTTCGCGTCGCCGACTGCGTGTTGAATTATGTCAAACAAGTTGTCAGCCGAACGGGCGGAGACCTCGTTGACACACTTTACGGATTTCGCTTAAACCACTCTTTATTCTCTCGCCCTGCGGCGTTATTGTAAGTTAATGCTGCGGACCGGAGGCGTGGCCTGCAAAGGGCAATTTGGGTGTAAAGTGGGAACCGTGTGCAAGATCGAGGCGGACTGCTGCATTTCTTGCATTTCCTGGTGACTGGCACAATGCGAAATAATTCCGGAGCCAGGTGAAAAAGTCGCCGGAGGCCCTTGTCAGACACAACACTTGGGAAGCTGCCCAGAGTTGACCAGCAAAGCTCACTCCCTGGAGTTGACAGGCTACCTGCTCGGCACCTTAGCACCTGGTGAGATGTTGCTAAATGCTGACTGTCAACTGCTAACTGAATAACTGACACGCTTTCGGGCCATTCTGACTGGGGGATGTCAGGAGCAGCTCCAGTTCACCAATTGCATACGGAGTACGGCTGACGGCAGAGAGTCTTGCCTTTTAAAGGCAATCAATTTGACCATTGGCCAGGCCAGGGTCCGACTGATGCATAATTTATGCAAACTCCCACTGCAATGAATAATAATTCGCTGCCAAGACTCCCAATTCCCGGCGCCAACTCCCCGGGCTCTAATCCGCCGGGCTCGACTCGGGCTTATTGAGCTGCAATCGAGAAGCGACATCAGAAATTGAATAAAAATCGAGAGCCAAAGGAGCGAAAATATGGCAGCAAAGGTTGAAGTCGCCGTCTGGTCTGATCGGGCCGCAGCCAGACAAGGGCTGGGAGGACGGGACAGGACTGGAAAACATGGCAGGAAAAGTTTTGTGCAGCTTCCTTGGCCATGTCACTGGCCTGTCCGTAAATCTTGCCGTTGTGGTTTGCAGTCAAAGTAGAAAATTGACTTGATAAAAAGTTTACTATTTTCCTA